CAAGAAAGCACAATTGAACTATATTATGTGTGCTACTTGTCCATGATACAAACACATCCATATGCCAAGAAAGCACAATTGAACTATATTATGTGTGCTACTTGTCCATGATACAAACACATCCATATGCCAAGAAAGCACAATTGAACTATATTATCTGTGCTACTTGTCCTTGATACAAACACATCCATATGCCAAGAAAGCACAATTGAACTATATTATCTGTGCTACACAAATTTTTGTAGACATTTCTGTAATTTTAGAAAAAGTTATGGCAAAATACTTTTTTACTGTATTTTAAAACATGTTTGTTCAGAACCTTTGACTACAGATATACAAAAAGTTGTAAAGGTTCACTTACCGGAGTAGATAATTCGGATACATAAGTACACTCTGCTGTAATAGACAACGAAACACCAAATCCTAAGATGAAGCGTCCAACCAACACCAACAAAATTGTCGGGCTAAAGCAAAGCAGCATGGAGCCCGCAATAAACAGGAACCCAGCAAAAAATATTGACGTCCTACGCCCATAGTGATCCACAATGATCCCTGAAACACGATTTTTAGTGAAAACTTTCCACGGCATTGGTTATGAAAATCTTGTTGTATCGAGGATATATAAAAAAAACACTAAAACACAAGAACAAAGTAAAACAAATTGGTGAAAAACAACGCAAACCTCTAAGTTAAAAAGGAACATGATAATATACAAAATGAAACAAATAAAGATCATGCAGAGATTAGGTCCAAGAGAATTGCTTCTTAATGGAAAATATGAATATGATAGTTTCTTAGTGAAATAGGTAAAATAAAAGTTTGGAAGTAGGTTGTCATAGCTTTATGTAGCCTGAAGGAAGCTTAAAAGTTACAGGAAAATCAGACTAGCTTGTGATGTCTACATTGAGACTTTGACATACTAGAGTGATAGCAGATTGGTTTTAATGAGCGTAAAATTTTGTGAAAATAAACAGTAACTAACCGACGTAACTCAATGAAACAAATCAACATGTTAAGTAGCCTTTTATTAAACACACACGAATATATTAATTTATCTTGCCTCAGAAAGTCAAACATATAATATCATCATCATCAAGCATGTTACCTGCATTTTCAGTGATCACCCAGAGAATCATACAATCAAGGAAACTCAAGCAATGAGCACTATATAAGTAAACCACAATCTTACTTTGATATTCAGACTGGCATACAATAAGCAAAGTTGTCCACTTACGTTTAAGTTTTGACAAGTCATATTAATTAAGGAAAAAAATTTTACAAAATGAAATTTTGACAAGTCATTAATTAAGGTAAAAAAATTAACAAAATGAAGATTAATAATAATAATAAAATAAAATACTGCAATATTCTAGTTAGTGAGAAAATGGAGCAAGTCAACAAAAAGACTTAAAATTAGAAACACTAATTTTGACACATTAGTGTATTCTCTTCAGTTTCACATTGTCTTCTATACAACCTGAGAACGAAGAGGATGCACAGATGTGACGAACCTAGTTTCCCTAATTTCAAGCTTTCCGATAGTTTTTTTTATATTTACTGAAACAAAAATTATTTTAATTCTTTTCCCCTCCAATTTTAAGTCCGTCATCCTTGATTAGATGTTTCAAATGGACGTAATTTAGTGTGCTAAATAACAACAAGGCTATATGAAGTGTACGTAATGTAAAAGAAAAGATCGTGGTTAATTACTGTTTTTTATTCAACACGTATAACAGCAAAAATTCATACACTTCCCCGTATAAAAACATTATTTCACCTTCAACTCATCTAGGACAGCAGGTGAAGTTCTTTGTTGGTGGAAATCGGCACAAATCTTATTAGAAAACTTTATTAACTCCCCCCCCCCCTTCTGGATGCATAAATAGCCAGTCACACACAGTTTAAAACTAATGAAAAAACTTATGACTAGATAAATGGCCACACACTTATTCAAATAAATTAAGAGGGAGATAATATGGTTCAATTGTGCTTTCTTGGCATATGGAGTCTACAGTTGCATTATACCTGCATTACAGAAATGTCTACAAAAATTTGTGTCTACAGTTACATTATACCTGCATTACAGAAATGTCTACAAAAATTTGTGTCTACAGTTGCATTATACCTGC